CAGAAATGCCCTTTACTCATCACATGGAAAGGTGTTCTACTCCATGACAATGCACGTTCACATGTTGCACGTTTAACCCAACACAAGACTATGGAGTTGGGTTCAGAAGTTATTCTCAATTATTATTTATCATTTAACAAAATTCGTTGTTTGCACAATATACCATTTTTATAATGTTAAACACATGAAGAACAGCTCTATAAAACTTATAACTACCAATGCCTACATTGATCAAGAAATTAATAAAGTGTTGTGCAGAGTCAGCATTAGATATTGTATACAGGAAGAAATTTCCATACTGAAAACAAACAACCTGGAGCTTCTCACTGTAAGTCATGTTTTGGTTCATTTTCTCCATCTCACGAGAAATAATGTGGTAATGATCCATACCGACTTTTCTCCAGCGGTTGCTTATCTCAATCACCTGGGTGTCACCCATTCTTGATCCCTCTGTATTCATACATTGGATCTTCTTTTTTGGGCCCACACATTTGATATTCATATAATTGCGTGTTATGTTGCAGGTGCTTTTGCTCTTGTGATTGATCTGATTCCTGTCCTGACAAAATCTATCCAATGGAGTGATCTTTCAATCTAATTTTTCCATGGCTTTGACTTCAGTGAGGTACTCCAAATGCCAAAGCTTTTCCTATGTCCCTTACCCACCAATTATCTTAGTTTTGTTCTCCAGTCCCTCAACATTTTGCTCTGGATATTGATGTTTTCAGCCCGGATTGGACCAACATTTGTCTATCCTCCCATTCTCCTTCTTCTCTGGGTGATTTCGACTATCCTTGACACACTGTGTTCAGTCCTTCTGATAGTTCCTGTCTGGCTATTTCAGCTTTGGTTTCCATGGCATATCTAACTTCTTCCTTCATTACCTCATCCTCTGACTCCATCCATTCTACATCACTCTTGGTCACCATTGTTTCATCCAAACCTCCCTGTCCCCTCCATCTGGATTTTTGAGCAGCTCTGTCCCGCACCTTTAGTTTTTCCCGATACCACAGGTATTTACCTCTCCTACACTTTACCTGTTTAGGTGTTTCTTGTGAATTTGTCACCAGCTGCAGTCAGCTGCCCTTCCAGACTGGGATGTTAATGTGGTACTGCACTGCCTTCCTTTGCCTATGTTCACATCACTCTCCCCATGCTCCTTTTTTCACCTTTCCCTTATGTCTTTCTTTATCTCCTATTTGCCTGTAGATGTCGGTGGTCTGTTTATTTGCCATTGATGTTTCATGTTTTCTTTATCCTTTCTCTGGATCGTTTTTCCTTCCTAATTTCTCGGCAGCTAGTGTGGATAACTTCTCTGTTTCCACCACTTTCTCGTTTATCTGATTCTCACCTTTATTTTTGGCCTGATCCAGATAGACTTCTAAGT